TTTATTATTTAATTATAATCCATATTTACCTTGATAAAAACTAACATAAAATTATTTGATATTTGTTATATGAATTGTAAAATATTGGTTATATACATTTAAAAAAAATTGAAATTTCACCTTAAAACAATAACTTAAGAGACTAAAGTGGGATTTTTTCAAGATTAATAACGACATAATAAATAAATATTTAAGAAAATAAAATGACAAAAAAGAAAACAAATATTAATTAGAAGATGAATAAAGAAATGATGAACTTCATTCAGTAAAGTACTAGTTTCATAGTATGATAGAAACACAAAAAATAAAATTAATGAAAACATGGTGGTCTTATTATGTACGTATTTTGTATCTTTATTTCTTGTAACATAAAAAACCAGCATGGAATGATCTAATCTTCACCACTACATTTCATGATTCTGTGACATACAAAATCTCTGTGGAATGAGTCATGCACTGAGAAAGCATAGTGAGTTTTCCACAAAAAAGAATGCTTTTGTACACACACTATGTTTACACAAATATTCCCTAATCTACCAAGTGGGAAGAAAAATCCATCAACTATGACTCTTGTTCATGCTTTTAAAATGACTCCTAGCCATGACAATCTCATGAACAGATCTTGAACATAAGTTGATGGCTGTTAAGGAACTCTATACAGGTTGTTCTCATGAACACTAATGACAACACTCCGCAACTCAGGAAAGATGGAAATAAGTAGAAGTTCAAGTATTGCATAAGCAAGTTGCTTCACACATATAGAAGACTACAATGAAATAGGATGCAACAATTGTCAGTTCAGAAGAAACATAAATTGTGACTAGAAAAAATGACACAAACAGAAGAAAGAGTCAACACATCAATGGAAAAGAACTTTAACCTGAGTAAAGTAATATATATCACTGGCACAACGTTTGTACTGCTTCTGACCAATTAAGCCAACTAAAGCTGCTGGAGCTCCATCTGAAAAAATGGAGGCAGCTATTATCAAAGTCTAGGTTAAGGAAAATGTTTACTTCAAATTTAAAGGTTACAAGGACCAGTAATAGAAAATAGAAAATAGAGGCATAGCAAATAAAAGTGTAGAGAATAGATGAAAAGACCAATGTTTATATTATGGTATGGCATCTTTCCTACAACCTTTCCTCCCACAGGTTCATAAAGTATGAATACTGCACTAGATAATGAATTTCAACTAATTAGTAATGCTTCACCATTACCTTATTCCTCTTACATATTTTGATGGTTGGAGAAACGGTACTTCTCATTCATCAGTAGCACTTTCAAATGACAAAAAACTATACTAGTGGCCTGAAAACTCTTTTATTATATAAATAAAATGATATATATATATATATATATATATATATATAT